AAAAAGAATAAACCAGTGAATGTATAAGTGAAACAAGAAACCAATGTTTCTCTCTCCCCCCTCCCTTTCTCTCTCTAAAATAAAGTTTCAAAAAACTCAAGTGAACTTAGAATTCTCCTGTACAATACGTCTCTATTGTTGTAATATAGACACGTCAGTGTCTGTAGGAAAATGTATACTAAGGGGTGGCCTGTGCATCTGTGCCTTCGGTGCGGTCCCATCAGCACCCTAGGGCTCAGGATGGACTAGAGGGCCTAATACCGGGCCTCTGCTCTGGCTTCATTCACCGTCACCTGTTTCTAGCAAATCTCAGAATCCTTGTCCTTTGGGCCCTGATGGTAGCAATAAGAGATCAGTACTTGGTGGAAGGTTCAGGATGGACAAGTGAGTCCCCACAGGTGCTACATAAGGGTTTCCTGACTTGCTTCTCCAGCTTAGCCACTTGCCATACCTGCCTCCCACCTGCACCACCACCATCAGTTAATTTGCCTCTTCTTGACTCCATTTCTTCCTTTCACTGGCACATAGGTGGTGCCAGATTCTCCTGTGCCTTCCTGCCACCTTCTCTACCCACTGACAGTTGGGCTGGGACAGATTAGGCACTGTAATATCCAGCTTTCTCCCTTGGTTAAATTTGACATGTTTCTATTTTTAAATCAAGGCATCTAAAGAACTGGCCTTTGAAAACATGGAAGTGCTTTTAATAGGGATGTGAGAATCCACAAATAGCTATATTTCTTGGAGCCCAGTATTTTTATTGAACGCTGAACAAGGAGGGAACAAGAGCTTTCCCCAAGGATACTAGGGGGAAAATTTGTAAATCCCATAAGAGCATAAGAGATGCTCATTTATTATGGATCTCTTCCTTTGCTATCAAACCTCACTGTAAAGTGGTTTTTTAATCTTTTAAAATAAACTTTATTAAAGTTTAACATATAAGAAAATGTACTCAATGAGTTTTAATGTGTGCATATATGTTTGTGTGTGTAACCACCGCCATTAAGATATACAATATTTCCATCCCCCCCCCCCCCCCCCCCCCAGGGATTGTCCCACCCTCAGCCTCTTTGCAGTCAGTCCTCTGCCACAGGCAACCGCGGACGGAGGTCAAGGCCCTGCATCTTAGCACTTACTGACTGGGCAGCAGCTCTAGCTCTTCGGGTGCCCGGGTCTACCTGTGCCATCCAAACCCTGGCTCTACCTGTGCCATCCAACCCCTGGCTCTACCTGTGGCCATCCAACCCCTGGCTCTACCTGTGCCATCCAACCCCTGGCTCTCCTGGCTGGTTTTGCCAGTGGCCTTGTCCTGCCCCCTCTGGTGTAGGGACGGAGAGTGAGCTGACAGTATCCTGCCCTGCAGCTCCTTTTTGTAGGAGGAGCTCAGAGCACATTTCCTGTTGGTTGAGAACAAAACTGGGCACAGCTGATGAGACACCTGGAGCTCTGCCAAGGTAATGAGTGCGGCAGTAAAGTCACCCTGTGTCTTGGGCTAACTTGAGCCTGCCACGCCCCAGATGAACCGCTGGAACTAGTTTTCCAGGAAAAAAGGATAATACGGAGTTTCCTGGCATAGATCACTCATTAGGGCTGAAAATGGATTTGAGATTTATCTGGTGATTTGTGGTTTGTGTTGATTTCCTAGCTATGGAAAATCTGAGAAAGATCTTTCCTTTCTCAAAATATCTGAGCGGCTAAGACCACATCGATGAAAACTTGTGGTTGTTTGAGTTTTGATAACTTTCTTTGGTCACTTCTTACACCAAGAAAATGACAGATTTTTTTTTTCTTTGAATATGAAATATTAAAATTGGCCCAAATCCAGAGTAAGCTACAGGTTGGCCTTGGTGGGCTGGTGGCTCTTCAAGTCTGTACCTCCTACCAGCCTCCCTGATCTTCAGCCTCGTCTTCCCCAGATCACCCCAACCCCATCCTAGCAGACCTGTAGCCCATGGGAGGCAGGATCTGGGCCAGCCCATTTTATTTATTTATTTTTTAATATATTTTATTGATTTTTTTTTTTTTTTACAGAGAGGAAGAGAGAGATAAAGAGTTAGAAACATCAATGAGAGAGAATCATCATCGATCAGCTGCTCCTGCACAACCCCCACTGGGGATGTGCCCACAACCAAGGTACATGCCCCTGACCGGAATCGAACCCAGGACCTTTCAGTCCGCAGGCCGATGCTCTATCCACTGAGCCAAACTGGTTTCGGTGGCTCTAAGTTTTGACAGTTTTCTTGGTCCTGAGGGAAAGGGAAGGGCGTTGCCCTAAAGTGGGCTTGTGGTTAATAACCTAGCATTTTGGGTAGTTTCAAACACAACTCCTAAAACAGTGCCCTGTGTCCTTAGACTGCACAGCCAGTGTCTACACTGTCATTCTTTGAAGCTTCATTGGAATTTTTTTTTTCAGTGTAAAATTTTTATATTTAGAATTAATCATCTGGACTCAGTTTAGATGATCCCAATTTTGTTGGCAACATCCAAAACTTCATAGTCAGGAGCCAGACAAACATATGTCTTCTTTTCTCCATCAGGCTGACCAGGGTGTTGACCTTGGCTACGTCAGTGTCATAGAGCTTCTTCACAGCCTGTTTGACCTGGTGCTTGTTGGCCTTGACATCCACAGTGAACACAAGTGTATTGTTGTCTTCTGTCTTCTTCATGGCTGACTCCGTATTCTGGGGGATTTGATGATGGCATGATGGCCAAGCCATTTCTCCCGGGTGCTCTTCTCTAAGGGTGTTTAGTTTGCCTTCAGAGCCTCGGTGTCTTTGGCCGTTGAAAGGTGGGTGACGTGACTCTTCCTTATTTTGTGGCTGTGGACACCTTTCAGCACTACATTCTTTGCATTCAAAGCCCTTTTTTCTAGTAGAGGTGTTATATATTACATTTGGTTACAGATCTTCTTGTCTCTTTTAGTCCACTTTTTAAAAAAAATATATTTTATTGATTTTAAAAAATATATATATTTCCAATTTTTTTTAATTTTATTTATTTATTTATTTATTTTATATTTTATTGATTTTTTTACAGAGAGGAAGAGAGAGGGATAGAGAGTTAGAAACATCGATGAGAGAGAATCATCAATCAGCTGCCTCTTGCACATCCCCTACTGGGGATGTGCCCGCAACCAAGGTACATGCCCTTGACCGGAATCAAACCCGGGACCTTTCAGTCCACAGGCTGATGCTCTATCCACTGAGCCAAACCGGTCTCAGCTATTTTATTGATTTTTTACAGAGAGGAAAGGAGAAGGACAGAAAACTAGAAACATCAATGATGAGAGAAACATCAATCAGCTGCCTCCTGCACACCTTCCACTGGGGATGTGCCTGCAACCAAGGTACATGCCCTCGACTGGAATCGAACCTGGGACCCTTCAGTCCGCAAGCCGATGCTCTATCCACTGAGCCAAACCGGTTTCAGCCACTTTTGTCTTTTTAATGGCATTGCCTTTGTTGATTTCAGAGAGGAAGAAGAGAGAAAGATAGCAATATCAATGATGAGAGAGAATCATTGATCAGCTACCTCCTGGGGATGGAGCCTGCAACCCAGTCATGTGCCCTTGATTGGAATCGAACCTGGGACCCTTCAGTCCACAGGTCGTCACTCTATCCACTTAGCCAAACTGGCTAGGGCATCATTGACTTTTTGAAGAGAACAGGTTGCTCATCTTGTAGAATATCAGCATTCTGTGTTTGTTGGATGTCATAATGCTGTTGAATATACATGCCTGTGTGCCGGCTATTATCTGTAGTTGTAATGTTAGGCCTGGAGGCACAGCTGGCTTTAGGCCTAGCATTTTATGTGGAAACCTGAAGGCTTTGTGGATTTCGTATGCATGACACTGGTCAGAGAAGCTGGGCTCCATTACTGGGGAACTGTGACTGCAGGATCTTGAGGTTGAAAGGCTTTTCCTTGGTGATTGCTAAGTCCTCGGGTGCAGTACTTTGCCTCCATGCCTCACACCTGCTCCCTCCACTGGGGTTAAAAGTCTTTGATAATTCTTGCTTGATTCATTTATTTTCATCAGCACTTTCAAAGTGATGACATTCCGATTCTATCATTTTTTTCTACTTTTATTGGCTTTCATTCTTCTATAGAAAGAATTTTTCCTCATCCATCAAGGATGAACTACACAGTTATCCTAAAAAGATGTAGTAAATGCATGGTCCTATGCCTTTTACTACCAGTTTTCAACATAAAGAAGAAAGACTCCTGTGTTCCCTTTGCCAGAGTCTAATATTTGGCTTTCTTTCTGCTTCCTTGCCTTATCTTAATTGGAACAAGGACAGCTGATCCATCACCAACCTGGGCTGAATGTAGTTTCCTGATTTAAAATAATTGTCAGTAATTCCTGACCCTGATTTGAACCTCTGGTGTCTTGCAAGTCTCTCTCTCTCTCTCTCTCTCTCTTTTTGCTCATGAGTTTTGTTTGCTGGATAAGGGAGGAGCAATGACCCGCCTAGCAAGTGCCAATTTTCCTGGAAATCCAGCAGGTCATTGGCCCCTGCCCAGGCTGCTCTGATGGGGTTGATGGCCATGGGCCCAGGTCGGGAGAAATTGGACGGCTGGGGCTGTGTGCTTTGTGCGATGGAGGAATGGCAATGTGAGGGAGATAGGGCACTGGCCAGGGCACCTCAGAGGGGCAGAGAGGAGAGAGAAAACTGACCAAAGGCAGGCTGCTCTCTGGTGTTCAGGGGTGTTCCAAGTGAACAGTGAGGGGACCCTAGGTCCCATCCTGCCAGCCCTTCCCAAGCCTTAGTTTATTTGTCTGCAGTGTGGGGGTGATTGTGGCACTTGGCGCAGGGGATTATTGTGAACTTCATGCAGTTACTAAGGGGACCACCGTCCATGGCGGGGCATTAGTCTTCCCATCTTTCCTGCACCACAGGTTAGGAGGAGGAAGAGGAAGTGAATGTGCCATAATGGGATCTGTGAGCTGGTGAGGTGTTTAGGGGAGGTTGGCTGCTCTCCTGACCTCGCCTCTCTCCCTGCAGGTGTGAATGACAGAGGTGGTGCCATCCAACGCCCTCAGTGAGGTCAGCCTGCGCCTCCTCTGCCACGATGACATAGACACTGTGAAGCATCTCTGTGGCGACTGGTTCCCCATCGAGTAAGTCAAGTGGTGCCCTCTGCCCCACAGCTGTAGATTGGAGGGATGGGGTAATGCCACGGATCTGATGAAGCTGGAAGGCTTGTGCAAAGGTGAGGATGTCCTGGAGGGGTCGTGGTGGCCCAGAGTCACCTTGCCTGTCAGAGGAGCCCAGGCCCCGCTCCCTGACGGCCGTCACATCCTTTCCATCTCACTCTACCTTATGCAGAGTTCTCCAAAAGGGCTTTGCTGAGAAACTTTACTTACAAAGATGTTCGATGCAGTGCTATTTACAAATCAGACAATTGAGAAGCAACTTAAGTATCTTAACAGTAAAGAATGGCTGACATATGTTAGAATATGTGCATGCGAAAATGAAATATTATTCATCAGGAAAAGTGAAATCTGTCATCAAGATTTACTTGAGGAGTTTTTTAATGAGATATTAAGTGAAAAAAGCAGACTAGAAAATTGTATGTACCACAATTTCACTTTTATTTGAAAACATGCATAAGATAAAAGCCTATGAAGATATGTGTTTTTGGTATTTTGGAATGGTAGATTATTAGTAGCTACAAGTTTGTTTTATTTTACTTGTCTGTATTTCCTCGATTTTTCTATAATAAGCACATATAGCTTTTGTTGTGAAAAAAATAAGTGCAAACTTTTAAAAATGAAAAATAAACAAGGTCCTGCTTGTTTCTATGAGTCTTAACCTCAGGTTTCACCCACTACAATCCGGAGAGGAGCTTGGGCGATGCTGGGCTCAGAAAGCCTTTTGGTGGGTGGTCAGCGGCCTCTGCAGAGTAGACCTGAGCGGAGAACCTCTCCACTGTGTCTCCACCGTCTTTCAGCTCTTGGTCTCAGGAAAGGCATCTGGACTAACTTGTTATGTCCCAAACCCACAAACAATAAAACACAGAGTGTCCTGTCCCCTCACCAAAACTCCGTACTGAGGCCGAGTCATCTGTCTGTCATCACGGTGTCAGAGGGCTTTGCGTGAAACGTTCTTTTCTGCTCCCCTGGGGTCTTGAGTTTGAACTCTTCCAGCTGCCCCTCCAGGTACTGCTCTCATGGAGAGAGTGTCATGGGAGGTCTCCCCCCCCTTCTTAAATCTATATCTTATAAACTCACTTTTCCATCAGAAAGCCCCCTATCCTGTCTGGATAGATTGCTGCTTTAAGATGATGATTCACTGAGAATGATATACTTTGTTGGAGACTAAGTGGTGGGCAGGCTCCTTATCAATCCTGGAGCAATGGACAAGGTGCCTCGAATCCCCTGTGGGTCCACTGTCTGAAGCACGAGGTTAGTTGGACTTGGCCTTTGGCAGTTTCACTTAAGGTTGTTCTCCTCAGGTACCCAGACTCATGGTATCGTGACATCACCTCCAACAAGAAGTTCTTTTCCCTTGCTGCAACCTACAGGGGTACCATTGTAGGAATGATAGTAGCTGAAATAAAAAGTAGGACCAAGATACACAAGGAGGTAAGTATGTGTGGTGGTGATGGAGCTGCCAGGCCCTGGGGACAGAATCACGCTGCCTGCTCTGTGGCTCTTTCTCTTTCTCTTAGGAGCCCAGACCACGTATGAGATTCATATCCAGGTGGTTTCTTTCTGTGTGTATGTAATACAGTCATATGTACATTAAGTAACACGTCCTAACTGCAGGCTTCTTTCTAATGATTGTCATTTTGAAATTGGGAGGGGGTGTAAAAGATTCACTGAGAATCTGCAGAGTTGTAAGGGTTTGTGATTTGTATTGGTGGCCGTGTCACAGAAACTGCTAATACTGCTGTGATTTGTTAAAGGAAACACTAAGTTCCAGTTACAGGTTAGTAAAAACAATATATTTTTTTTCCTCTTCAACTTCATAGACCTCGCTAAGATCTATCTAAGAACCCTGGAGTGTCTTTGGTCCCTGAGTTACCAAGTCCTCCTCTAAATGTAAAAAGCGAGGTTATGGTCACAAACACGTTGTTCCATGTGGTTGACTTGCGTCAAGATTCTGCCTACCCCTAATCAGTTTGGCTCAGTGGGTAGAGCGTACGCCTGTGAATCAAAGGTTTCCGGGTTTGATTCCAGTCAAGGGCACATGAAAAAAGAAAAGAAAAGAAAAGAAAAGAGAAGAGAAGAGAAGAGAAGAGAAGAGAAGAGAAGAGAAGAGAAGAGAAGAGAAGAGAAGAGAAGAGAAAAGAAAATTAGATCTTCAAAGTAAATAAATTAAAACAAACAAACAAACAAACAAACATTCTCCCTAAGCCATCTTATAAAGTGACTGAGTAGCATTTATACATGGGTATTTACTTCATGGAGGGGAAAAACCACCACCAACTGGCAGCTGCTTCTCTCTGTTTGGCTTGAGGCTGTTTATTTAAAAGTGCAAGAAGGATATCTCTCCTTTTTATTTTATTTATTTTTCAACATATATTTTTATTGATTTCAGAGAGGAAGGGAGAGGGAGAGAGAGATAGAAACATCAAGGCTGCATAGTTCTCTCCTGCGTGCCCCCCACGGGGGATGGAGCCTGCAACCCGGGCATGTGCCCTTGACTGGGAATCAAACCATGATCTCTTGGTTCATAGGTTGACACTTAACCACTGAGCTAGCTAGGCGGATCTCTCTTTTAAAGTCCCGACCCACTCAGGTCTACCCTAATTTGCCTGTAATTAGATTCTGGCAAGTTGGTTTCTTTTAAGAGTAACTTTTCTATCCTAGCTTCTGAGTTTTTTCTTCTATTTTTCTGTGCTAAGATACAACAAAAAAAGAAACATTGGCATTTTCAGCAAGCATCAAGTTTTTTTTGCTCTTTCACAGAACAAACTGTCCCCCCTTCCTCTCCCCTGACTTGTTCTCCAAAACCCTCTCTATGAAGCTCTTCCTATGTGCACCCATCAACTGTCCAGCCCCACACACATGGTGACTAGATCTCTGAACTCCTTTGAATGTGTGCGTTTTCCCATGAGGGCAGAGATTGGAGCCCTTCTTTTCTACTCCCTGGGTGTCGGGAGAGCCTTTGTACTCTGGCATTTTCTCTGGCCTCGCTGAGAGGCAGAAGGAATTCGACACTGAGGAAAGAGAGCCCCTGCTGATGTCTTCTGGGGAATGAAGTACCTACTTTACCTTCCTGACCCTTCCATGGGCTTCAAGTAACAAGAGCAATAAGGATGCCTCCCTGAGACTAAGTTTGCCTTTCTCCTGCTTAACTGTACTATGGAGTGCTGGGGCCGGGGTCAGGGTCAGGAGAGTGGTGAGTAGGGACAGGGACAGGCCAACCCATGCCCAGCACACGGAAGCCACTGAGTGAACAGTGGACAGGGATGAGAGAGGCCAAGTCACCAAGCTTTCTTTCCGTGGGGGGAATCCACCAAGCCTTCTTCTTTACAAAGCAGAAGAACATCAGAACCTCAAGATGGTCTAACTCACAACTCTCTCAGTCCAGAATTTTATCTCTGAACTAAGAGACCAACAAGGGTTGGTGACGCTCTGCCTGGTGTGGACAGCAGAGAGGCCACTCAGACTCCCCACCCTCTGTACCCTAAGACCACCTGCCGCAGCACATAATCCTTTTTTTTTTTTTTTTTTAAGATTTTTAAAAATTGATACTTAGAAATTAAGGAGGAAAGAGAGAGAAGGAAACATCCATATGAGAGGCTGCTTCCTGCACATCCTCTAATTGGGATCAAGATTGCAGCCTGGGTGTGTGATTGGTACTCAAACCAGCAACCTTGCACAGGACAATGCCCAACCAGCTGAGTCACACAGGCCACAGGGCTAATTAAACTTGTAAAACTTTGTCTGGCTGTTTTATCTCTTGGTGTGTCAGTTGACACGTGTGAGCACCATTTAATGTCCACACAGCATAGTCATTTCCTTTTTACCATCATAGCTTCACTTGTCTGGTGTCAGTGTTCTTCCTTGTATGGTCTACCACCCTTCCAAAGAGAAGCGACTTTTTGTGAGTGTCTTAATTTTAGCAGAAAGGCCCACACCCCCTTGTTTCCATGGGACGGTGCTGACTCTCCATTATTCTCTGTTCTGTCTCTTCCTGCTCCACTGGCCACCCAAGTGTAGCTGGGAGAGTCAGCACGTGAGATATGTTCTGCAGTGCGACCGGTGCCTCAACTGTGAACCTGACTTTTTTCTGACTTTTTCTTTAGGATGGAGATATTCTAGCCTCCAACTTCTCTGTTGACACACAAGTTGCATACATTCTAAGTCTGGGAGTAGTGAAGGAATTCAGAAAGCACGGCATAGGTAAGGGCGGTTGAAATAATGATTTTTGGCATATACACTCCACCACTACCACCCACTGCCCTGTTGACCTTCAATTCAGCCCATGCTCTTCCCACACATTACCAGGTCTTTCGGGATGGCCTCATTCCCAAAGCTTACAAGATGAGATTACTAACAGCTCTCAAAGATCCTCATTACAGAATGGGCACCTTTTAACCACACCTGCTGACACGCACACGACTTATATCCGATCACAAAGTGTGCTTGATTAAGAATAGAAAATGTAATTGATGAAACAGTCCTAGCTCCTATGGGTCAGATTCCTGTCACATCTGGGGTGCCATGCCATCTTTATGTTTCCAAGTTCCCATCCCACTCAGCCACAGCAGAGTCTTCATGGTAACCCAGGTCTGCCCATTCCTCATTCCCTGGGCTTAGGTTTACACTTTGTTGTCTGAAAGGCTAGTGAATCTCTCCTGTGGATTCAGCCCCTGGAAGGGAACTATGTGGCCTGATCCATGTTCCTGGACAGCCAGTGGTCTGCACTCACCGGCCCTGTCTGGCTGTGGGATTTTAGGGACTTTGGCAGTGGCTATTATGGGAAGTCTTTGATACAATGGCAGAGAGATCTGTAGAGATCTCTGAGAAGGTCACTTCCTTTTCTGCCTTATGCTTTCTCCTCACCTGCCCCGTCATGTGTGACTGTTGCCTCTTTGCCTACAGGTTCCCTTTTACTTGAGAGTTTAAAGGATCACATATCCACCACTGCCCAGGACCACTGCAAAGCCATCTACCTGCACGTCCTCACCACCAACAACACAGCAATAAACTTCTACGAAAACAGAGACTTCAAGCAGCACCACTATCTCCCCTATTACTATTCCATCCGTGGGGTCCTCAAAGATGGCTTCACTTATGTCCTCTACATCAATGGCGGCCACCCTCCCTGGACCATCTTATATCCTTTTCTCCTCGGGGGTGAGAGACTGGCTTCCTAGCATCAGCTGGAGCTGTGGTCGCTTTCAGATGACATTCACAAGGCCAAGCTCACAGGATGCATTTTTTCCTGATGAGATGATGATGATGTGGGTAGATCTGATTTGCATGTATTAGGAATTGATGGTCTGGTTGCAGATATTGGGAAAGCAAACATGCTCTGGCACTCGTTGTTCCCTGGACTTGAGCCCAGTACAAGGGGTGGATTTTTAATCCTCCTGGTCCAAGACCCACCCATCCATTCGTCCATCTATTCACCCAATAAGTATTGGCTGACAGTCTCCTGTACCTGGTATGTGGGGCTACAACAGTGAACAAAATAGACAAAGCCCCTGACCTGGCGGGGCCTGCATGCTGGCAGGGAGAGAGCAAGGGAGGTGAAAGAGTTGTTTGCTATTTTGAACACTTAGTTCAAACTTTTCTTACCAGAATGTAGATTATGTGACTCAGTGGTGTGTTCCATCCCTGCTCCCTCCCTTTTAACTGTCTCTGGCCCTAAACAGGTAAGAGGGTGGCTAGAAGACTTCTTAATAGTCATAGGGTGTGGCCCAGAAAATACTGTGTGTACATGTATTTGTGTGTAAATACTAGTAAATAAATGAGTCTAGGACTTATCCATTTCATAAGGAAATAAACAGGAAAGAGATATGTGGTGCAAAGCTCATAGGTCTCCTTGCTCATGTGAAAATCGGTCTCTGTGCTAAGGGCTTAACACTGCTGATCCCTCTATGTCACAGGAATGAGGCCCTGCCCCTCTGAGGACTGAGGGGAGGAGGAGGACCAGGAACACTTGCTCTTTTGATTTACAACCCCCCCCCACACACACACACACACATACACACACACCAACCAGTCCTCTTTTGATTTACAACCCCCCCCCCCCCACACACACACACATACACACACACCAACCAGTCCCTGACTGTTAACCTTAGTCTGGGTGTCCATGTGCCTGAGGCCTCACCTGGAAGGTCCTTTTGTTCCCACATGCTGCCCTTTATTATTTTGCATAGTGGAGGCCCTCCATCTATGGAGGTTTTCCAGCACTCTGCAGAGGCTAAGCGGACTTTTGGCCTCCCTTGAGAATGGCATGCTATCTCCCTCAGTCCTGCAGGTTGCTGTTTGGGCTTCTGCTGACAGTGTCACTCCAGGGCTGTGGGCAGGGAAGGCGAGTTGGAGTCTTCCTTAACAGCGTCCCACGGACTACATCCAGCACCTGGGTTCTGCTCTAGCAAACCTGAGCCCCTGCTCCATCCCACACAGGATTTACCGCCAGGCCCACAGCCTGCTCTGCAGCTTCCTGCCATGGTCGAGCATCTCCACCAAGGGCGGCATTGAATACAGCCGGACCATGTGATGCCAGCCGGGCAGTCTCCAGCAGGCCCCCACCCCTTGGCGCCCTGCGGAGCCCACCTTCTTGGCCATTTGACCTCAACTGTGTTCTGCAGAGGAGCTGGCCTGTCACCGGCCCCAGCTGCAGGCCTGGCGCTACATGGCTCGGGAGCAGAGCGTCGTGGGGCGGGTGTGCCCGGTCTCCAACAGGTACGCCAGAACAGGCGTGGGGAAAGGGGATCAGAGCTGGCTGGGATGATGGTCTTGAGAAATGGAGGGCCTGGCGCTTACGACAATAAAAACAAGGCTCTGGAGAGGCACCTGCTGCACTAAGGGCTGAGGTAGTACCTGAGCAGCTCTCAGAAATTTGAAGGAGGACTGCCCTAGCCAGTGTGGCTCAGTAGATAGAGCGTCAGCCTGCGGACTGAAGGGTCCCAGGTTCGATTCCTGGTCAAGGGCACATGCCTGGGTTGTGAGCTCGATCCCCAGTAGGAGGCAGCCAATTAGTGGTTCTCTCTCATCATTGGTGTTTCTATCTCTCTTCCCTCTCCTGTCCTCTCTGAAATCAATGAAATATATATTTTATATATAAATAAAAAGAAATTTGAAGGAGGAAAGCAGAGTCCTGAGTCCTTGCCCAGAACTTCATCTTTTCCCTTGAACGACTTTTTAAAAAATAATGCATTCACAGAAATGGACAAAGTACCAAAAGTTCAAGCCCTTTCTCTGCCCCCACAGCCACCCAAAGCCACTTAGTACCTTTCCAGCGGTGTCTGGGCTGATGTCAGCTTTACCGGCAGCAGCAGCAGTCACAGTGAAGCTCCCTGAGGTGGGCACCTTACAGATGAGGGCTCTATTCAGACATGGCCACTTCTTTTTCTTTCTTTCTTTCAAAATAATAGCTTTATTTTTATTTTTAATATATTTTATTGATTCTCTACAGAAAGGAAGGGAGAAGGATAGAGAGCTAGAAACATCGATGAGAGAGAAACATCGCTCAGCTGCCTCCTGCACACCCCCCCACTGGGGATGTGCCTGCAACCAAGGTACATGCCCATGACTGGAACCAAACCTGGGACCCTTCAGTCTGCAGGCCGACGCTCTATCCACTGAGCCAAACCGGCCAGGGCAATAGCTTTTTCTTATTAAGATTATAAATATGTTACATGGTCATTACTTTAAAGCTCAAACCATATAGAAAAGTGAAGAAAAAAGTAAAACCTCAGCACTGAGAAAAAATCACTAATATTTTGGTAAACCTCTTCAAACATATTTGTAAGCATATAAACCTATACTGAAATAAAGATATAGACATGGCCACGAACACCATGAGTACTATGGGGAGCCAGCCAGTCTCTCGGACCTCACAGAACACCAGAGCCGGAAAGGGTCATGGCCACCTGGGCTGGGAGGCCCAGTGCCTTGATTTGTGCTGGGACTGAGGAACCCAGATGTCACTAAAAGGGACTCTGGGCCTAGAGAAGGGCTCACCCTTCGGGGGCACCAAGGGACAGCAGTGGGATCCTAGCCAGACATAGTATGAGCAGAGTGTTTCTGTGGAGACCTTCACCCTTGCTCCCCTCTTCTCTTTCCTGCAGGCTCTTCCAGCCCTCCTTCCTGCTCTGGAAACTTCTGCCCTCGCCTTGGTCTGGCCCCCATGTGAGTGCACCAGCCTCATAGGCTGGCCAGTGTTCATTGTGGCCAGCTGCTTCTGCCCTGGGAGTATGGAGGCAGGAGAGGGCTTCCTTCCCTGCACGCCCTCACTGGCCTCTTCCCCTGCGCTGCCTGTTCCATCCAAATCCTTCCTCCAAACCCGGAATTAACTCCTCAGAGGGAGGAGCCCAAGTGTTATGGATAGACGTGGCCCTAAAGACACAGGAGCCTCGGAACAATGAAGGAATAAAATAAAGGGAATGCAAACCCTTGTAAAGAACCAGCCCTCAGAAGCCTGGGGGCAGGAGCAGCCCCTACCTCCCCAGGAGGGGCTGGCGAGTGGTGGGCAGCTTTCACCCAAGCACAGAGCTCTGGGCTTGGTTCCTGGCATGGTGGTCAGACAGTGGGAAGGTTTCCCACTCCTCTGTCTGCAGTCCTGCTGTCGGAGCGCGAGAAGCTGCCTCTCACGCTGGATGTGCCATTCAGTTGAACTGCCGCAGGGAGCTGGGCTGAGGACAGGTGGTGAGGGTCCCAAGGGCCCTCCCCTCCGGCCCCCCAGTTCCGTGAAATGTAGTTCTAAGGCCTGACCAGATGCAGACAAGGACTGAGTGTGGTGTTTGATCAAGTAGGACCTGGTCTTTGAGACGGGGCAGTCGCTTGCCTTGTGGTCCTCAGCCTCTGGGAACAGAGACAGAAGAGGCTGTGTCAGTGCCAGGAAGCATGCATGCGGACAGCACTTGCTTCTGGCCTTCCCTCCACCCTACCCCCCGAAGCTGCTCACCCCCAGCCCCGCCCTCCAGAGTGAAGGGGGTGGCAGAGTCACGCCCAGCATTGCTGAATGTCCTGGAGCCTTGGCCACAGTGCACCCGTCTGAGTGAGGAGAAGGTGGGCCAACCAAGCGAAGGGGCCTCGAATTGGCATCCTTCCCTCCCTCAGAACTCCCAGCCCAGGGGCTCTCTGGCCTTGTGGTGGGGGAAGGGGTTTCTCGAGATGAAGGCGAGCCTGTGCAGGAAAACCACTTCTCCCTCCTCGGCCACTTCACACTCACTGACTGGTCCCCACTCCTCACTGACATTGACTTGAGCTGAGGCCCAGCTCAGTGTCCTCACTAATCTGAATCAACGGTTATCATGTGGTTTTTATTTCTGCCCTATGGGGTAAGGGAAGAGTCTTCCAGAAGGTTCTGCTTGGACTTCCATATTGAGCCGAGGCCTTGCCCTGCCCCTTCCTCCTTGCCCCTAATCACGGCAGTGTCTAGCCCAGTGTTGAACAGATTGTAGTGTTCTGTCTGATTACAAGCAAATAAATAGATTTTAATTGGTCATATCCTGTCTTGCACTTTGGGCCATTCCTGGAGGGATTTGCCCCCTTGCTGGGATAGTGGTTTTAGATGGTCCAGGAGCTGCTTGTTGGTTGCTGTCAAGTCCCAAGGATGGCTTCCAGGTAAAAGGACAGATTGTTTTGTGTCATTTATCCTGCCAAACAATGCAGTCCTGGGGAAGAGGGTCTAGAGTTGCAAAGCACAACTGGCTTCTTTCATTAAACTCAGAAGATCCTCAAGCAGCTGCCCCCATTTGTTTAGGAGTCTCCTTGGCCAGCCTTAGGCCTTGAGCTGGGGCATGTCCTCTGGGGGTCACTATCCTGGCTTAGGGAAGGCTCGATAGGTGACACAATGCGATGGTCAGATAGGAACCCTGGGCCGTGCACCTTGCCACAGGAGCCTGGGGGGACTGGGACCTTTGGTCCAGGGCACCTCATCATGGGAGCCTGCGGTTGGCAAGTCTGGAACCATGTGCTCCCAGCAACCTCTCCTTGGAGCTTCTGGCCACCCTGGGGTATGGAGTCATGCTAGTCGCCCCATTAGACAGATGGAAACTGGTTCAGGGGCCGGCAGTTACCCAGGAGCCATGCAGCTCTTGAACAGCCCCTCTAAAACCTGTGTGTGTACTGCTCCCTTGACGGTGGCACATCAGCCAGACGGCCCTCCCCAAAATGGGCCTGAGGCACCTGAGGAGCTGGGTGTCAGGGAGCCCATGGGGTTGTATGGAGGCTGGAGGCATTGAATGTTTCAAGGTCAGTGAACTGGCCTGGTCTCTGAGTCCTAGCAGCATTTAGTGCTGTGAGTTACACCCTTGCTAATTGAGGCAAATAACACCTTGTTTAATGGGCCAGCTTCAGGATTGAGGGGTGACTCCTCGGGGCCCTTGGTTAGTCATTGGCCAAAGTATTAACTTGCAAGGATGGGTAGGGCCAGGGGTTCTGGAGACCATTGCCCTAAAGGTAACTGCCTTCCAATCCATCCAGCTTCAAGGATAGGCTCCCAAGGGCTGAGACTGGCTCCTGGTGGCTAGTTCCAACCCCCCTGGCCATTCAGGGAATGGGGTGAGGATGCCCTGGGTTGGTCAGTGTGCATTTCCCACAGTGTCTGCTTGTTTGAGGCCCTGGGTGCTCCTTCACCTCATTCCCTGTCCCCAGCATGCCATGGCCATGGCTTTTCCACTTGTCAGCCTCTGTGGAGTGCTTTTCAAAAAAGCTTTGGGAGGCTTAAGGAAGAATGGTTTGAAGACCAGCTCGGCTGTAGCAGATGTCCTTCCTTGGGGGAAAGACTAGGCTGTGATTTGTCTGCCCTCCACGCTTCAGCAAGGGTGGCTCGACGGGCTGAAGGGTGCACTCCCAAGGTGGTTCAGAGGTCAGTGGCGGCCTCCCCTGTGTGGGTTGGTTTCCCACAGTGTGGGGGGCTCTTTATGTGGATGCTGATCCCCCGACACACACACACACTGGAAGCTACTAGGCTTCCTTCATGCCAGAAGTGATGCCAAGTTACTTCTACCACATCTACTGGCAAAACAAGACCCAGAGCCAATCCCAAGTTAAGACAGGAAGTAATACACAGGCCAGACCACCAGGATGTGGCCCTGTGGAGGCCACCACAGACTGGACTCGGATCTGAACCCTGGGGGCAGACTGGAAGGAACCCAGCTCTCCTGGTCCCCAGAATCATAGACACTATCACCTGGGTATGGCAGGAGCCCCCCATAGGGGCTTCCAACCCAGGCTGCTCGGACTGGAAGTGAGCCAGACAGTGAGGGTCACTGAGGCCAACCTTGGTCTTCCCATCCTGTCTCACAGGGCTGAGGCCTAACCACACAGACCAGGAGTGATCCGACCCCCAGGGGATACTGGACACTATCCGGAGAGACTTTGGTTGTCACAGTTGGAGGAGGAAGCTAGCTGAATCTAGTGGGTAGAGGCTGCTTTCACTGCTAAACATCCTACAACACACCTGATGGCCCCACTACGAGAATGATCTGCTCCCAAATATCAACAGGGCCAAGAACATGGGAACTTGCTCTCAGAACACAGGTGCCGAGGGGCTGTTTCTCCGACTGAACTGGATGATGACAGACGGAGGGACACAGGCGCATGTGGCTTTGGCTTTTATTGAGATTAGACCAGCAGGCTCCCCAGTCTCTTTGGGAGCCCCTCTCTCCACTCAGCCCGGCCTCCCAGGTACAAGTGGTTTACTTGAGTTGGAGCAGGCTGCAAGGGCATGCCCAGGCTTCCCCTTTTTCTTCTGTCCCTCCCTCAGGACCTCCTCCTCCCTCCCCTCGAGTTTCCCCAAGGCTGGCCCAGGCTCTGGTGCTGGGCGTCTGCAGGTGTCACCATCTGGAGGGGCTACTGGTGGGGCTGAGCCCTTCCTCTCTGCACCTGCCTCCTCCGCCACCTCCTGGATCATCTTCCCCTCCTGTCCTGAAGCTGTGAAAACAGCACTCGGATCCCTACGGCCTCTCCAGAGCCCCAGAGCAGATCCTCTTGCACAATGGACAGGTGGACTCCTCTGAGGCCTGCCAGGATCTCTTGGGCCTGAACCCCAAGCCTTCATGGGTACCAGGCTGGGAGGAGGCACCCTTGGCTGGATCCATGCTGGAACTGGGTGCTAAGGAAAGGGGGAGGGAGGAGTTATTGGGAGGGTCCCAGGGGAGGCTGCCAGCCTATCTTATCCTATGATGCCCCCCCTCTAGAACCTGACATCCTTTAAAACAGGAGTGGAGGGGGGGAGGGAGGGTGTCTCTAAAGATAATCCATGAGGGAGGGAGGAGGAAGAGGGAACATGGTTTAAGTTCTTCCATCACTAATGGGGAAACTGAGGCCCAATCAGAAGTGGGGGAGCCTGTCGGTTGCAGAGAGGGGACAGAAACCCTGAGGCTTGGGAGTGAAGGGCCCATCTGCATCCATCTCATCTCCAACCCAGCCCATCCCTGGAAGGGTCTCTCCCTCCTGCATCACCTAGACGGGGCTCACCTGTATTTCCCAGGCTGACCCTGGGCAGCTGAGCTTCCAGAAGGGCTGAGCAGTGGCTGTTACTTGGGTTCAGAGTACGCTGTGGCAGGTCCAGGGGCCAGGCCAGGCCCTCAGGCCACGGGAGGCAGCTCCCAGCCATGAGCCGGCCCAGCCAGTGACTCTCACACTGGCCAGCAGGCTGCATGTGGCCCGGTAGATAGAGTGCCAGGCCCCGGAGGTGGCGCAGCCGGAAGTTCTTGGGCTTGCTTCCCGGGGCACTGGGGCACTGCTGCTGCTGGGCCCCCAGCCCTCCTTCGTAGATGTTGGATGGTGTGTCAGGGTGACTGGGGAGTCCTTGGGCCCAGCTCACGGAATCTGCGGAGGGGAAAGCAGGAGGGTGGTGGCCATGAGGGTGGGGAGAATAGCACATCACATGCTCATGTGATGGGCTCCATGTCAGCCTGCTAAACCTCAGCTTACTTGTCAAATGGACTAAATCCTTGCCTCCGGCCTCCCATGACCCAACGTATTAATCCTCTTTCCTCTCCCAGCCAACAGGGATGTCTGAGAACCCTTAGCCCTGGCACCAAAATTTAGGACTTCAAGTCCTCCTGCCATCCCCCCCCCTTTTTTTTTGTTAATCCTCACCTGAGGATATTTTTTCCATGGACTTTTAGAGAGGGTAGAAGGAAGGGGGGAGAGGGGAGAAAAGAGGGGAAGAGAGAGAGATGTAAACGAGATACATTGATTGCCTCCTACAGGAGGCCCATTGGGCCGGCACTTGAACTTGCAACCCAGATGCGTACCCTTGACCGGAAATTGAACCCATGACCCTTCAGTGTATGGGTCTACGCTCTAACCACTGACCATACTAGCTAGGGCCTTCTACCCATTTGCTTTTTTTACCGCTACCCTAGGTCACTCTGGTACCAGTATAGATATTTCACAG